ATCAACTAGTACTTCAACTTCCGTTACCACAAGTACTTCAACGTCAACGTCGGCAAGTGTTAGTACACCAACTACTACAGTTTTCTCGACATATTCAAGTGCCAGCACAAGTACCTCAACATCAGTGTCCACCAGTGTATCTACATCAACGTCAACTAGTGTGAGTATACCAACAACGTCTGTTTCCACGACATTGTCAAGTGCGAGTACAAGTACCTCAACATCAGTGTCCACCAGTGTACCTACATCAACGTCAACTAGTGTGAGTATACCAACAACGTCTGTTTCTACAACTTTGTCAAGTGCGAGTACAAGTACATTAACATCAGTTTCCACCAGTGTGTCTACCTCAACGTCAACAAGTAAGTCGAAGTCAACATCCACCTCAACCTCAAAGAGTGTTAGCACACCAACAACCACAGTTTTCTCCACATACTCCAGTGCGAGCACAAGTACCTCCACATCAGTGTCCAACAGTGTGTCTACCTCAACGTCAAGTATTGTTAGTATACCGACAACATCGGTTTCTAGGACATTGTCAAGTGCAAGTACAAGTACTTCGACGTCAGTGTCTACCAGTGTGTCTACATCCACATCTACATCAACGTCAACAAGTAAGTCGAAATCGACGTCGACGAGTGCTTCAACATCGACGAGTGCCTCAACCAGCACGTCCACGTCAACTTCAGCATCCAAAAGGTATGGTTATGCAAATGGTGGTTTTTTTTTCTTTTTAGTAAGATTTGCTTTTGGATTATCGTTAGAAATGTTTTAGAAATTTTTAGCGGATAAAATTCATCTAAGGTACGTGTCTAAAAATAAATGTTAGAAAGGCGATGCCTTGTTTTTTCCCTGAAAATAAAACTGCAGAGAAATAGAGCGCCACTCTTTTGCTAGGAAGCTGTATTTACCAGTCATATGCTCATTATAATGTTTAATTTACAAGGCGATGGGTTTCTTAAGTTATTAATTTCTGGTGTCTAAGTTCATTTCCATGAGGACTTGAGCTCTTGCCGCGTCATTTGAAATACAGGGTCAGCTCTCTTTTTTTTAATATAATGAAGAGTAGTTCCATTTCACTACCTTGAGAAGATGATGCGTGTTTGTTTCTGGAATTGTGAATCATTTTCCTTTAGAAGTTCAGCAACCTTAAGCCCGCTTGGATCCCTTCCCATACAAATAAGAGCTTATGTTTGATTAAATGTTTTATGGATAGAAACGGTACTTACATTTAAGGGTCGCTTAAGAGTCATCTTTGATCCTTACTAGGCCGCGGGTCGAGGTGGATTTATTAAATTATTTACTCAAGGAACTTAAGAGTTACAGTGTTGCGGTGCTAATTAGGCGTTGCTTTTCTTATTCTGGGCTTTGGGAGGTGTTTTCCTTTCACTCCTATCTCTATTTTTGGCGGTAACGAAGCATTTATCAAGAAGTCCAGGGACTTTTTTTTGATGAATGTTCAAGGCCTTACGGAATGTTTAAGCGGATTACCACCGCGCCCAACTTATTGATCGACATTCAGCACTACAAACGTCACAAAAGAAAGATTCCGACCGTATTCCATTCACTCTCACGTTTCACCCTCACAACCACTCAGTTAAATCCATCATTCTTAAAAACTTTAAATTACTTCAAAACGATCCAGAGACAAGCACTCTCTTTTCGCAGCCTCCGC